AGACTCCATTTTGACTTGTAAATGTATTGTCATCAAATGAGATGTTTTTTTCATTCTAGAAAAGTAACAATGTGATTCCTCCTAACTTCACCGGACTTCTCTCCTCCTACAAGTCAGAGCCTCAGAAAAGCTAAGCTCTGTAAAGTTGATTCTCTTAGCAATCTTAATGGTTAGAAAAACAAACAAACTTTGTATAACATAAAAGTTAGAACTAGTTGGCCAATATTTGCACCCTGTGGATTGTGATAGGCTTTAGTAAATATAAAATATTTGTATAAGATTAGATAATGAATTTTTTAATGCTTTCTTAAATATGTGATAGGGACTTGCCTTACAGAAGTCAACACCTTTGTAATTTTTATGTACTTAGAGAAGATACACATACCAGTGTTTTTAAGTAATGATAATCGATCCTATTGAAGACTGCAAAATGTATATATATTTATTTGAAATATTAAATTTTATAGTATTTTCAAACTTCATGCTGTTTTATTTTAACATGATCTAAGTATTTTCATATCATCTCTTCATTTTCTTTTCATTTACTTCAATTCAGAAACTTCAAAAGCCTTTAATAAAACCTCTTATAATAAAATATTTTCCTTTCCTTTCCCAGTATCCTATTGATATATGTGAAAGAAACTGGGTTTAACTTGTTCTTCAGGATTAATGGTGTTTGTTGACAACATAATGAGTTCACTGCTAGAGGCCATTCTGTAGATCTGGCTCTTTAAGCATTTCTTTTCAATTGAATATACTGCTTCTTAAGAATGACTTACCCAATAGGACTAATGGTTACTAGTGTTATAGGTATCTGAGCTAAAGACAGAAATAGTAGAAAAATTTTCATAACATGATCAGGATATTCATTCTTTTGCTGCTTATAGATACAGAGAAGAGATTGGTGGTTGCATGAGGAGGGTAGGGGTGAGTGAAGTGGATCAAAAGGTATAAACTTTCAGTTTTAAGTTAGTCATGGGGATATAATGTACCGCATGGTGACTGTAGTTAATACTGTATCACTCATCTGAAAGCTGTTAAGAGTAGCTCTTAAAAGTTCTCATCACAAGAAAAAAAAATTGTAAGTGTGTGACAGATGTTAACTAGACTTGTGATCATTTCACAATATATACAAATATTAAGTCATTATGTACACCTGAAACTAATACATTGTTATCTGTCAGTGATAGCTCAATTAAAATATTAGTAAGTTGTGGCGTCTGGGTGGCTCAGTCAGTTAAGTGTCCAACTTTGGCTCAGGTCACAATCTCGCAGTTAGTGAATTCGAGCCCTGTGTCATACTCTGCGATGACCTCTCAGAGCCTGAAGCCTGCTTCAGATTCTGTCTCCCTTTCTCTCTGCCCCTCCCCTGCTCTTGCTTTGTCTCTCTCTCTCTCTCAAAAATAAACATTAAAAAAAACTTAGTATTTTCTGAATTGCATGATCAATGTGGCCAATAAAGATATTAAAACATGCTTCCAAGGTTGTCCCTTTGAAAAAACACTTATGATACACGTGGATTTGTTTTATTATCTAATTAGATAATATAAGATTTAAGATAAAAAGGGATGATGAAATTTTTTGTCCTTTAGCCTTAATAGTCTCAAATCTCAATAGAAAACAATACTAACTCTTGCTTCAGAGAATAACCTTGGAAGTTGATTAAAAATCATTACAAGGTTTTATTTATTTTTCTATGTTTTTTTTCCTGAAGAGTATACTTCTCATACTTCTGTGAGGCAATGCAAATATTAGAATGAATGGTTGGTATGCTAAGAAGGCAGATGTAAATGTTTACTAGAATATGGCTATAAAAAAAAAAGATGAGGAAAGGTCTCAACACAATAATCTAAGTTCCTACCTTAAGAAACTAGAAAAGAGCAAAATAAACCCAAAGTGAGCAAAAGGAGGAAAATAATAAAGAGTAAAAATCAATGAAATTGAAACTAGGAAAACAATAGAGAAAAATTTTAAAAGCAGTGGTTCTTTGAAACTTTTCAATAAAATTGATAGAATGAAATAAAGAATATCACTACAAATAGGGGCACCTGGGTGGCTCAGTCAGTTAAGTATCTGACTCTTGATCCTAGCTGAGGTCTTGATCTCAGGGTCATGAGTTCAAGCCCTGCACTGGGCTCCACACTGGGTGTGGAGCCTACTTAAAAGGAAATAAAAAGGTATCATTACAAATCAAGCAGACATTAAAAAGATAATAAGGAAGTACTATGAACTTTATATTCATAAACTTGACAACAGAAAATGATTCAATTCTTGAAAACCAGAAACTACTAAAACTTGACCAAAATGAAAACTGAGATTAAATAAACAATCTCAATATACTATAACCACTAAAGAAATTACAATTTTAATTTAATATCTCCTGAAAAATAAAGACTCAGATACTCTGGCTTCTTTATTTTTAGATTGATCCATGTTGTTGCATGTATCAATAGGTCATTTTTGTTCCATTATATGCAAGAGTCCCCAATTTGTGTATTCCTTTCATCTGTTGATGGACATTTTGGTTTTTCAGTTTGGGACTATTGTGTAAAAGCTGTTGTGAACATTCATTTACAAGTCTTTGTATGGACATATGTTTTTCTTTTCTCTTGGGAAAAAACCAAGGACTAGAATGGCTAGATCATAGCAGGTGTATGTTTAACTTTTAAGCAATCACCCAACTTTTCAATATCAATTGTACCACTCTACATTCCTACCAGAAGTATATGTGTATGAACTACAAATATACAACCCTAGAAGATGCAAACAAATCTATAGTGACAGAAAGTACATCACTGTTCACCTGGGATGAGATAGGTGAAATAATCACAAAGGGTCACAAAAGAACTTTGGGGGCTGATGATATCCACCATTTGCTCTCTTTTTTGTGCTAATGGTTTCCTAAGTGTGGCCATATATGTCAAAACATATCAAATTGTATACTTTATGTGCAGCCAGTACATCAGTTATAGTTAAGTAGAGGTATTGGAAATATTGAGATGTTTACTGTTTAATATAATTTATTCAAGAATTTAATCAGTTATTTAGCCTTTAAATAACTGATTGTGACTGAGGTCTTATGTGAATTACTGGTGCACACAGTAGTTGGGCAGGCTAACCCTAAAGCCATAGCTTCTACTAGTATCTCTTCTAACCGACTCCCCAGCTATCACCTTGCACAACCCCATCTCTGCCTCACTTTTAGCACTGATAGAATGAGCACACCCTTCCTTCAAAGAGTGATTCGAGATAATGGTTAGGAAATAAGGGGTCAGTGCAAAATAATAAACACTTTCTAAAAAGTCAGTCTGTGAACATTTGGTTTCACAGCTCGGGACTATCTCTGACAAAATGAACTTTGACAAAAAGCTGCTTTCCACTTTGGGCTGCTCACAAAAAAGCCCATGGAAGAGAAAGTTTATACATAGAAAAGCATGTCATTGTACATGGCATAGAAAAACACCATACAAATGAATTTTTTAAAGATCATTTTAATCTATTTATGCCTCTTCTACCCTTCATTGGCTGGAACAATTGAGCAAACTGAATTCATCTTTCCTTCATCCTGATACCATGCTGTTTTCAGTCTGAGTTTTCATCCATGACACTGTGGAGGACTGCCATATTCTCAGCAAACCCTAAACACTGGCGTGACAGTGGCAAGGTCTGGAGATTCAATGATAAAACAAAACTGACCTGGATTCCAACCTCTTGAAACCTTCATGTAAATCCTACCCTTTTAAGGTTCAGTGCAAACCACCTTCCCCACAAAGGACTTCCACACTATATTCTGTATGTGAAGGAGGGGTTTCCATGGTATAGTGGTTATCACATTCATTTCACACTATTCTATGCAAATCTCCCCCTTTTCTGAACTATTTGTGCTGACCATCTAGATCATGCCATGTGACATATTTTGTAGTATTATAGAACTGTTTCAACAATTCATCTTTTTGTTTTTACCCCAGGTGTAGTATATTCAATTAATCATTATTCCCATTTTCATCACTGGTTGCGCAAGACCTCTCTCATGTGTTTTATCCTTATACTACACCCTCCAAGCCCTCCGCATCCTAAGCTACCATTTCAGTTAATCTAGTGTGTATCTTTTCATTGTGTTTTCTACAAATGAGCACTACCTTCTAAGCACATAAATTTAAGTGTATGTAAACAGAATTGTATTATTATAGTTCTTTACTTTCTCCACTGATCACCACGCTTCTAGGATATATCCGTGTTGCTATGTGTTCATTTATATTATTTATTCCATTGCTGCTGTACCCCATCGTGTACCTCCGTCACCTTCCCCCTTTTGTAAGGATAGCCACCAGGGTGGCCTTCAACTTACCCAACAAATGTTCTAGTTATTTTATTCATTTTATTTGGACTATAGCTAAACTATTAACTGCTTATAAAAAAGGAACATGTTTTTCTTGTCAAGGAATATTTGCTGATTTTCTATGGTGGCGTATATATGTTTTCTAATGTAAAGTGGTAAAGATTAAAGTAAAATTAATAATAATAACTAGAATAAGGAGTTGCCAATGGAGTCTTCCTGAGCTGACTTTAATCCTGGCTTTACCCCTTATGAGCTATGTGACTTCGGGAAAGTGATATATTTGTTTTGAGCATCTCTTTCTTCTTCTATAAAGGTGTATAATACCGCATACCTTAGTGGGCTGTTATGAAGAATAAATGAATTAACTCATACAAAACACCTTAGAAGAGCAAACAGCCTATGACAGGTGCTGAATAATGGCTGTTATGAGCCCTACCTACAGTTTCAAACTATAGTCATTTGTACCCATCAGCTCTTTTAAGAGACAGGACCATTTCAGATGCTTCTTTATATCTGCTTATTACCCCACACTGTTTCATGTAATGTCCCATACATTTACGTTTAATTATTTTTAATTAAACTATAATTATTTGGTTGGCATTCTGCTAACTTAGATTTTAAGTATATATGCTAGAATAAAATGCTTTTATTAATCCAAGAATGTAGTATGTGTTAATACCTTTATTGCAAGATTCATGGGAATCTTCTATCATTTATTACATGTCGAAAGGAAAGCTGTATCTATTAAAAAGTAAAATCAGAAGTTAGTCTTTAGTATATAAAGATTGCTGTTTTCATTTCTCCCTCCAGTAGCTTAAAAAAAAATCCAAGTATTCCTCCTTCAGTCATGTTTTGTCTTCCAGATTTTAAAGTAAGAGGCATCTGCATCCTGTAACAGAGAGTAACATGAATCAGTGTCTCCATATATTTACTATTTACTCGGTTTTTTGCTTTTTTTGGTTTTTTGGGTTTTTTTTTTTTTTTTTTTTTTACAAAAAAAAGGAGCCATATCATTATTTTTCACTGTTAAGAATTCTTAGGGGCATCTGGGCGGCTCAGTCAGTTAAGCATCTGACTTCAGCTCATGTCATGATCTTGCAGTTGGTGAATTTGAGCCCTGCACCAGGCTCTATGCTAACAGCTCAGGGCCTGGAGCCTGCTTCAGATTCTGTGTGTGTGTCTCTCTCTGCCCCTCCCCCACTTGCACTGCCTCTCTCTCTCTCAAAAATAAATAAACATTTAAAAAAAATTAAATAAAAAGAGTACTCATAAAACCTGGGCAAATGCTTAAATTAGGATAAAAATCATAGCCAGAATTCTAGATCTGTGGGGCTTAGTATCATTCATATTTCTGTGGGGCTTAGTATCATTATCATCTCCATCAGGTATAAACATCATTGATTAGCATCTGCTCATGGCATTTCTTAAATACTAAAACTCTTTTTGGACCAGCATATCATACCTACATTGATTTACCTTAATAAATACAAAGAAGAGGTCAGGATTGAAGTATCTGACAGATAACTCTAATATTATTTGTGAATTTCTAGTACCTTGCTTAAAGACAAGGCAATTCAATAATCCTTAAGATGTGACATTTCATTTGGGCAGATATGCATTTATCACTTCTAAGAGTTTGCACTAAGACAAAAAAATATGTAACACAATTCAGTGCAGTTATTGTTCTTGATCCTGAAAAATAACATATATTCATAAAAACAAAGTTCCAGACATAAGGTTCCCACCCTAAATGATAGAAACAAACTCAAATATTATCAACAAGTAGATTTAGTTTGGGATAAAATATATTGGCATTATGTTAACAAAGATGCCTTATAAACAAATCTCAATAAGGAGATGGATATATATATGTATCCATATTTCTATTTCTATTATATATATAATATAGAAATTTATAGAATTTCTATAGAAATATATAATAGAAAATAATTGGAGAAAAGAAGCAGGAGGAGAAAAGTACAAAGAGTGAGGAACAATTTTTTAAAGTTTATATGGTTTTATGTGAAGAATGAGGAATTTTATCTCAGAAATAGTCTTCAGAAATGAAAGGATGCCCAGTTTCTCGTAAGAAAAGTGATTAGCAATAAGACCATGTAATGATCAATATATTAAAGATAGTGGTAAGAAGAGAAAGGCCATCATTTTAGCAAAGTCTAGATGTAATCAAATGCTTGATTTACTGAGTAATGTCTATATTTTACAGTTAGATAATCTATAAAGAAAACAAAATGACATTCTTGTGTATGTTCCAAAGAGCACAACTGCTACAATGGCACCAAAACTCTAGCCCCTAGTGCTCCCCACCCCCCGCTTCCCTCTAAAACAATCATTTCTATAATGTATTCTTTCTCTGCCCTATTGCTTAAATCTCTGATCTTTATTTATTAGCTAAACATCCTGTTACCATCAAAACAGAAGCATTAAGAGCTAATACTTAACAAGCAGGATATTCCAAGATGTGTTTTAAGGCTTTCCATGTACTCACTCACTTAATCCTATGACTAAGTGCATCATTAATCTCCATTTTGTAGCTGGGGAGACTGACATAGAAAAGAACACGTCTGAGACTGAGGGATGAGGTCATGGTACAGAGCTGGGATTTCAACCCAGGTAGCCTGGTAGGAGGCTCCATGCTCTTAACCAGGATGCTATCACCTCCCTAACACGGAGGCCTTTCTTTCCTCAACTCCTATCCTTCACTGGGCATAATATCACTATAGCAGCTCAAATGTGAAATTCAGATGTAAATCTTTAATGAAGCTCTACCTTTTTTTTTAAGTTTTATCTAAGTAAACTCTACACCCAACACGGGTTTCTTTTTTTTTTTTTTTTTTATGTTTTATTTATTTCTGAGAGAGAGAGACAGTGTGAGCAGGGGAGAGTCAGAGAAAGAGGGAGACACAGAATCTGAAGCAGACTCCAGGCTCTGAGCTAGCTGTCAGCACAGAGCCCGACGCAGGGTTCGAACCCACAAACTGTGAGATCGTGACCTGAGCCGAAGTTGGACACTTAATCGACTGAACCATGCAGGTGCCCCAACCAACATGGGTTTTGAACTTACAACCCCAAGATCAGGAGCTGCATGCTCTTTGTACTGAGCTGGCCAGGCACCCCAGAAGAAGCTCCACCTTTAGAACCAACCCACACTACCATATCCTATATTACCAAACACTTATAAATGACTTGGTACAAAGCAAACTGGTCCACATTACGAGTTGGTAGAAAATAAATAGACCCCTTCATTTTTTAAGTTCTGGACTTATTAGTGCATCATGGAAGTTTTATAACCTTTAAGTCTCTATAAACATTTTGTTTTGTTTTTTGCTTTCTTAACTAATTTATCTTCACTAACCTGCACAAATTAAGTACCTAACAATTTGTGGATGGCTTAAATAGTAGAAGGTTATATAATGATACATATAGTATGCTCCCACTGAATAATTCTCTTTCTATATCAATCCCTGCTAACTTATTTCTAAAAGAAGGTAGTAGTCATTAAAAAAAATACTTTAATAATAAAAACCATCCACAGAAATACCCTTTCTTTGCATAATCCTATCCATAATTCATTCTGTTTTCTTGCTCTTCAAACTTTAAATTCCTGTGATGGTCACAATTTTCTCTGAAATGGCCCATAATATTCCTCACTTAGCTATAAGAATGAGTGCCAAAAGAATGAATAATCACCATATTTTTTCTGACATGGACATTTTGGTACATCTCATATAAGCACAGTGCTTCCAGAATAAGGCCAAAGGAATCAGCACTACACAGAGTGAGTACGTGAGTTTTCACGGTATGGTAAGTGATTGACAGAGTTAAGTACAAGCTGAGGCCTCATCTGGGAGAGAAATCAGAGGGGAGGCCAGGGATCAACCCAAGGAGATGATACCAGGTAAGAACTTGTGATGAAAAAGAATGGAGAAAGAATATTTTGACACATAAACTGGTCAATCAATAAGTATAGAAGATAAAATGACAGTCTCTGATTTGATTTTACCTTGCAGAAACTTCTTTCTCTAAGACCAGTAGTTATTTATACTAAACCGACAGATATGCATGGAGGATACAATACTTTTTATATCTTTTGTATTTATGTCATGAAGTTGATGGAGGGTTAGTAAGAAAAGTTTTCAAGCGCTCAAAAATTTCATACTTTCTACAAGACTGATATGTATTTAGAATTGTATAAATTGGTCTTACCAAACCCTTCTTAAAGTTCTCAATTCTTTTCTTCCCTAGTATGTTGGTCAGCCACCAGGCCCACGTTGGCATATACTGCCACAAATATGCTACTAATAAAAATGGTTGCTCCGCAATCCAAACTTCTTTCAAATCATTGGCCATGCTGATTAACATCAGCCGTACACAACGACTGGTCGCCATCTTGTGGGTCTGGGCTGCATCAATGCCTATAGACTAAGAAAATGTTAAAAAAAAAAAAATTAAATGAATGATGGGTATTTATCCAAGATATTTCACAAAACTTTTAAGCTAGAAAGGACCCAGAGGTCATCTAGTTGATGACTCTTTCACTAGGACTTCATGCCCCCTTAGGAGTCCTCCTTGGAACTAATAGGTGTCTATAAACTGTAATATTTCAAAAAGCCTAAGAGAAATCATACACTGACCAGATAAGACCATACAGGCTAAATAAAACATGAAGGTTCTTTGCTTTTATTTACATCACCTTTAATGTATTTAATTAATTGATAATTACATATCAATTTAGCAATAACATTTTTTAAACAAATTACTAATATACACATTTAGCAAGTGAAATTCTATAAACCATGGAGTCCATAGTGAACAAATCTGGTACTGCTAATCTAGGTAACCCACTACCATCCTACAAATAAATAAACTGAAGCCCAGAAAGGTAGTAACTCATCTGTGCTCACACAGATCATTAGCAGTAACCAGATCTACCTTCCAAGTCACTTGATTCCTACAACAGTGTGCTTCTTCTAGTTTACCTTAGAGTCTCCACAGAAAATGTGAAAATATAAATTATATCTGTAAACATTTCCATAGAAGCATAAACAGATCTATGTCTCAGCAGAAACTGATCTTCATGGAGAAGAAGAAAAATTTTATGGTCTTTGGTGGGATTTTGTATCACTGAGTGATCCTGGATTCATCACAAGGAATTTGTCATCCACTTGGTAACTCACCATGTGCCGTCCATGAGCTGAGGGAGTCACAGACCTGTGGTTACACACAGGTGAAGCTAACCTAAAATTATTGCAATTCAGCAAGGTTTTTTCTAAGCTCCCTCACCATAGCCCCTCTTTAAAATCCCAATAAAATTTAGTGTGCTAGAATTCAGCCACACAGAACCTTTCAATGCTGCTATAATTTGAATTGATAGAAACTGAGTTTTTAAAATGTTGAGAGCCCACATAATAGTTGATTATTTATAAGTAGTATCTTGTCAAATTCTTTAGCCTTTATTAAAACTGAATGCCTCAGCACTATCAGCTAACCTTACCAGTATTCCTACTGCCCTGAGTTAAGTTTTGCAAATAATTCATAACATGGTAACATGTTCGAAAAAATTCTAAGCACAGTGATGCAATACCAACATATAACTACTAAAGCATTCAAATTATTCTCCAACTAGAAGTTTTTTACCTTTTCAACTGCTTCAGACAGGGCATTCTTCACAATATTTGATTGCACAGGTCCCGGACAAATATTAGAAACAACTATACCTGGGTAAGTAGCAAGTTCAGTTCGGAGACAATTAAAAAAACCCTAATAGGCCAAAAAAAGGGGGCGGCAACAAATAAAATTAAATGCATGTATCTCATGTTTACTATTAGCATGATATTACTTTTCTTCAACTTCTTATGTGGGACATTAGCACATTATCAAAATGTTTTGAAACGCCAATAAAGGACAGGAAATCTCATTGGGCAAGCTCATTAAACATTTTTAACTGTAAGATGGGGAAATCTAGGGCACATGGGCTGGTCGGTCAGTTAAGGATCTGACTCTTGATTTCAGCTCAGGTCATGACCTCACAGTTCATGGGATCAACCTCCATGTCACGCTCAGTGCTAACAGTGCAGAGCCTGCTTAGAATTTACTCTCTCCCTCTCTTTCTGCCCCTCCCCTGCTCACATTCTCCTCTCTCTCCCTCTCAAAAATAAATAAACAGTTAAAAAAAAAAAAAAAAAAGACTGGGGGCAATCTAGAACAGACATCCTCAGGCATCATCATCTTCTAGTAGGAATAATTCACCCCTTCTGACAGTGGTGGCTGACGCCATCAGTTATGTTTCATAGTAGCCTTAAACAGCTAATCCAGAGTGTGTTCATTTATGATCCAACATTAAACAGTTACCAGCTCTTAATGCTGACCATTAACAAACAGTGGCTATAAGGGTTCACGTTGTCAGGGACTAATAAAGTTCCTGACTCAGATGGACATGAAAAAAGGCTTTGTAAATTAATGAACTCTCATATCCTTAACCTTTGACCTCTCTACAGCGAAAGAGGAGAGAGGACACCATGAAAGCCAATATATCAGTTGTTAAACCTCTCCTTGTCTGAAATCACATCTAGTATAAAGTGTGTGAACTTTTCAATGATCAATAAATTCACTCCACAGCTTGTTTGGAATCAGAGAAGGAAATGTGTTCTTCAAAAAGTACTTCCTAGTCCTAGTGTCCAGCTATTGGTTTAACTAACTAGAGTCTCAACCTGCCACACTATATCAGAGGATTGAATCCCGTAATAAAACAGTGAGTCCTGGAAGGAAGCCCAGACAGCTCAGGTTGCATTTTACTAAAAGTACTCTGCATGTCATGAAGATATTTGGCTGCGTTTCCTCATCCACCTGCCTGAGACTTGCCCAACTGCTCTGCAGGAAGTGACTACTACCCCATTACCAAATATGGGGAAATCATCAGTGTAGCATTCTGTTTCATCACTTTCTGCAACCGTCTCTCTCCACAGCAGAAAGAGGATACCCTAAAGAGCCAAAGCTTCAGATCCTTATGAATCTGTGATGGCCATTCAGCTGTTGCATCTCATTATTCCAACAGTGAAACATTCTACTCACACTACCTTTCAACAGTATTAGTTATAAACTTTATGTATCCTATTAGCCTTAGGAGCTAATTTGTTCCATGTTACACTTTAATAATATTTCTTCATATCCGTTCTTAAGCCAATGTTAAAAAGTCATCTGTTTCTATATTCACAGCTAGGAAGTTATGTAGCCCAAATCAAACTTTTTTTTTTAAATATTTTTATTTATTTCTAGGAGAGAGAGAGAGAGAGAGACAGCGTGAGCAGGGGAGGGTCAGAGAGAGAGAGGGAGTCACAGACTCTGAAATAGGCTCCAGGCTCTGAGCTGGCAGTCAGCACAGAGCCTGATGCGGGGCTCGAACCCACGAACCGCGAGATCATGACCTAAGCAAAAGTCGGACGCTTAACCAACTAAGCCACCCAGGCAGCCCCCAAATCAAGCTTTTATCTCAGCCTCTCCCTTGATTAGATTTTATTCAGTGAAGCTACAGTAAATAGAGTCAAGCCTAGACCCAGTAGGGATATGAAGCCCAGGTCTAATCATCCAGTGGGGAACTCCTATTTCTGACATGCAAATATAGTGAGACTAGATAAAATAAATGCCAACTATAATGGGGAAAGAAAAAGAAGTCACAGAAATGGGAAGGGTGAGTACAGCCTCAAGTGTGTGCAGAAGAAATGGGGGGTAAACCCCAAATTTCCATGAAGATGTGATAAAAATGAGGATAAGGGTGACATGTTGAGCAGACTCTCCACTTCTTTAAGGTAGGGGCCATATCTTGTCTTTATATCCCTAGAATCGATTGCTGGGCACGGCATCATACAGTGTCAGTACTCAGAACATGTTTGCTAATTAAGAAGAGGCATGCAAGAGTCAAATCTTTTTTAGCATCTTCTGGGGATGTCCTCTACCAAAGGTCTCCTTGGGTCTCTCTTGCTGTCTCCCTCTCACTGCTCACTTCCAATGACCTCTTGTAGTGAGTGATGGATGTATCTCCTATACACATATTTAGATCAGTACTATCTCAGCTGAGTTTGAGCAGTCTTACCCGGAGAGCATGTTTGCTGGCACAGTATCCACTAGAAAGGGGTGCAGATATGATACCCAGGAGGCTATTCACAGTAACGATCTTCCCTTGCTTCTTCTCGATCATGTGAGGCAGAACACACTTTGTCAAGGACAGCGTCCCCAAGTAGTTAAGCTCTATTAGCTCCTTGTAGACGTCCAGGCTGGTGTCCACACACAAAGAACGTTGAGATCTTCCAGCATTGTTGACCAGAATGTCGATCTAGTTAAATAAAATCAGGAAAGGGTCACTTTGGGGATGATCTATAAATGGACTGATGCAATTCTTAGGGATGGTTGGTTATATTGCTAACTTGAAGAATCAATGGAATGGAATGGTGAATTTCTAGAAGTCAGCAATAAAGAGATAAAACAAAAACCAGAATTCACCTATGGAATTAATTTCCCAACAGAAAAATAAAAGGCACAGTGAATTTTAACATTCTTTTGTTCTACATGGAGGAATTAGTACTTATAAAGGTATGGAAAGTACTAATTACATATATCCAAAGACTTAGAGTATAAGAGACTCATGGGCATTGATCTCACTGCATGGACCATTTGCCTAAAGCCCTTTCAATGACAAGACACAAAGAAGGGAATCTCTTTTGTAGCTAGCTATTTCAAAGAAAGACTTACCAATTCAAAATGGCTACTTACTTTACCAAACTCCTGGAGGACTGCTTTGGTAGCTGCCTCATGGGAACTTCTGTCAGTCAGGTCAAGTGGCAAAACAAGTATATCTTTGTCTTTTAAATTGTCATTCTCTAAATAAAGACACTTAAAAATTAGTGCAGAAGTTATGAGATGGCTCAATTAAGCTTCCTGCTATTTGGTGTTAAGTTTAACACCCACCCTATAACTGGGCTTGGCAAAAACTCATTTCTGGGTGGCCTGCTGGCCTCATTTCTCAGTGACCATGAGGACTGGCAGTAATAAGGCAACATCTTATCAGACAAAAAGCTGGCTGGGTACACAGGAAGTAGTATGGCTCTCTTCAACTTGAATACAGTCAGTCTAACATTGCAACAGGCTCTAAAGGAAACCAAGATTATATTACAAGCTAAAAAAAAAAAAGCAAAATTTTAGAGCTATTTCTTTGGAAGTACAGAGGTATATTTGTTTTATGATAGGCTCAGAAAGTATAGCTGCTCTTTTACACACATTAAAAAATAAAAATTTATGCTTCATATTAGGAAGACACTCAGAGTTTCCCAGTCACATGACACACAGAAGAGGATTCAGAGATGCAAACACATAACAGGACACAATCTTGAAATTGCCAATGAGAAACATGTTGAGCTACACTGGCCCTTTCTATTATTACTCATCAAAAGAATAAGACTCTAACTTTTTGAAATACAGCAAGTAAAGCCAGTTAAGAAAAACAGGCAGGCAGAGGAAATAGATGAGGTACAAAAGTTTTACGGGCAAAGTGTTAAATTGTGAAACATCAATTGTTTTAAAAAAGAAATGGAAATGCTTGCACCAGTGATCTGACAGATAAAAGGAAAACAGTCAGCCTCACTCTAGCCAAGATATGCTGACATGGTTCATTTCTGCCAGTATAGGACCTGCAAGTCTAAACAACCGGAGAACAACTACCATAGGAAGTGTCCCAGGGCAGAGCATACGAGGCCTCTTGGGAGCAATACTGTGAAAGAAGCCTTGTGGCCTTGCTACTGACTCTTTTTTGGGTGGTTAACTCTATCAGCAAACTGAAAGAAAAATGTGACAAGAATGACAGGTAGAGAAATGACCCAAAAAAAGGTCTGCTTGAAAATTCAAAATTCTCTGGGGCGCCTGGGTGGCTCAGTCGGTTGAGCGTCCGACATCGGCTCAGGTCATGACCTCACAGTTCGTGGGTTCGAGCCCATCGGGCTCTGTGCTGACAGCTAGCTCAGAGCCTGGAGCCTGTTTTAGATTCTGTGTCTCCCTCTCTGTCTGACCTTCCCCTGCTCACGCTGTCTCTCTCTCTCTCTCTTTCTCTCTCTCTCTCAGAAATAAATAAAACATTAAAAAAAAAAGAAAATTCAAAATTATCTCATTTTAGGTCCTAAATGTCCCATGACAAATAACCTGCTTTCATGTGAACACGGCTATACCAAAACCTAAACCCAAAATATAAAATAAAAATTAACATTGTTGCTCTTTATGTGAATATGGATGTTACCTCAAGCTGCATTTTAAAGCCTAATTCAATTCCTGTTCTTTCATTTTTTTTGTTCTTTCATTTTTATAACAAAAATCCTATATTGTCCCATATGACTTTAATATCTGATATTTTAGCAAAATGAAGAAGGATCCTTTCTAATTAAGCTTTTATGATTACACACATATATGCCATACATAAGAACCAAACTGTTCTTTCTCTAAGACAAAAGTATAAGATATGTGGTCACTGAAAATCCACCAGCATTCAGGGCGCCTGGGTGGCTAAGTGAGTGAAATGCCCGACTTCAGCTTCGGTCATGATCTCACGATTCAGTTCGTGAGTTCAAGCCCAGCATGGGGCTCTGTGCTGACAGCTCAGAGCCTGGAGCCTGCTTCGGCTTCTGTGTCTCCCTCTCTCTCTGCTCCTCCCCGGCTCATTCTCTGTCTCTCTCTCTCAAAAATAAATAAACATTAAAAAAAAAAAAAGAATATCCACCAGCATTTGAAAGAATTGGTGGTCACTCTCTAATATCAAGAGTCAGCACAAAATAAAAGTAGAATTAGGCACACACAGATCAATGGAACAGAATAGAAATTTAGAAGTAAACCATAATTATAGGGTCAATTAATCTTTGACAAAACAAAAAAGAATATCCAATGGGAAAAGGCAGTTTTTCAACAAATGGTGTTGGGAAAACTGGACAGCAACATGCAAAAGAATGAAACTGGACTACTTTCTTACACCATAAACAAAAATAAAATCAAAATGGACTAAAGACCTAAATGGGAATCATGAAATAATCAAAATCCTACAAGGGGATATAGGCAGTAACTTCTTTGACATTAGCTGTAGCAACTTTTTTCTAGACAGGTCCCCTGAGGCAAGGGAAAGGAAACAACAGCAAAAATAAACTACTGGAACTACATCAAAATAAAAAGCTTCTGTACAGCCAAGGAAATTATCAACAAAACTAAAAGGCAGCTAACAGAATAAGAGAAGATATTTGCAAATGAGGTATCTGGAAAAGGGCTAGTATCTAAAATATAAAAAGAACTTACAAAAACTCAACCCCCACAAAACAACCCAATTTAAAAAGGGATAGAAGTTGCAATGACATGGATGGAGCTAGAGTACTATGCTAAGGGAAATACATCAGACCAGAGAAAGACAAATACCACATGATTTCACTCAGATGTGAAACTTAAGAAACAAAACAAACAAGTATAGGGGGGAAAAAGAGACGAAGAGGCAAACAAAGAAATAGACTCTTTTACAGAGAAAAACCATGGTTACCAGAGAGGAGGAGGGTGGAGGGATGGGTTGAATAGGGGATGGGCAAGAAGGAGTGCACTTGTGATGAGCACTGGGTGATGTATGTAAGTGCTGAATCACTATATTGTATACCTGAAACCAATATAACACTGTATGTTAACTAACTGGAAACAAATTAAAACCTTAAAAAAAAAGGAAGAAAGTAGAAAAGCATCAGAAAAGAAAAGGAACGGGCAAGAGCAGCTACTGAAGAGATGCTGAAAGAAAGAGGATTTTGATCCAAGCATTCAGAGCATCTGGAACCAGAGTGGACTGCCCAGGAAAATCCCACTCTTACCTCTAAAGTTCTCCAAACCGCATTTGTATGTGAATTCTGGTTGATTTCTAGGGAGCTGCTGTGGTTTTAGATTTACTCACCAAGGCACCTTCTCTTCACTCTTTCCAGCTCCTGCACTCTTCTGGCTGACAGCACGAGAGAGACTCCTAGTTTGGACAGCTGGTACACCAGCTCCTCACCAATCCCACTCGATGCTCCAGTCACCCATACCACCATATCGGTCAGCTCCCATTCTGGTGAGAAGTAAGTGCAGATTAAAGGCAGAAACTAAGCTCTGGATTATACCCATATATCAAAGATTACCAAAATGATAGTCTTGAATAATACCACGAAATATGAAGATAAAATGCGCGGAGTTTAAAAATTTTAACATCCTAGGGGTTCCTGGGTGGCTTAGTCAGTTGAGCATCTGACTCCTGGTTTTCACTCACGTCAGAATCCCAGGGTCATGGGATCCAGCCCCACACTGGGTTCCATGCTCAGCATGGAGCCCACTTGGGATTCATTCTCTCTTTCTCTCTCCCCCCACCACCATCTGCCCCTCTCCCCCACTTGCACACTTTCTCTAAAATAAAAAAAATTTGTTTTCAATATCCTATATTTATGGCCTTGATTCTGGTGATGTTCTCAGAGGTATATACTTACCTCAAACTCACTGAGCTGTATACTTTAAATATGTAGTTTTTATGCTAATCATACCTCAATAAAGTGATATAAAAACTTTTAATTAAATATCCTCAGAAAGCACCTATTTTTTTTTAAAGCATGAATACAAATCATATTAGTAACAGATACCAACATACTATTTTGTATATTCCTGACTCAGGTGAATTTTCCTGACTTCATTCTAGGACAAGCCTTATAACTAACTTGATGGTCTGACTCCAAGGATCTATTTATCTATGTATTCAATTGAGAAAAGTTAGTCTAAGTGAAATAAAAGTCTGTCTGAACTTGCCTTCTCACTTTCCTTATCCATGAAATGAGGGATTCAGATAAGATGATCAGTAAAGATTCTAACCAGTCCTGAATTCTATTATTCTAATTTCTTACAGTAGAGGTATTGAAGACAAATCTGAATATAACAAGCTCTACTCTATGGTATGGTGGTATCATTGTAGATTTTTGTTTTCCTCATTTGTCAATCATATCTGATGCCAATCAATTAAAGGTCACTTTATAAAAGTGCTCCCCAAATGCCTGAGCTTTCATCTTAGAGACTAACAGTTGGCCCAAGATAAAATTCACATGATAGAGAAATGGAATGCTGTCCTCTGCTTGTCCAATTATGTTCTTGTTAAAAACTAAAAAACGTTACAGCACTAAAGCAATGAGAAGTGGTTTATTCTCCTTTTCTCCAATGAAAAACTTACTTGCACTGCAGGACATGAGAGCCACTGTCTATCTGAATAGCAGGGGAGGAGCTAGATGTACCTGGGCTTCTTTTTTTATTTATTTTGAGAGAGAGCAAGAAAGAGCACTCATACGTGCCAGAAGGGGAGGAGAAAAGAGAGAGGGAGAGAGAGAATCCCAAGTAGGTTCCATGCCATCAGCACAGAGCCCAAAGTGGGGCACGAACCCATGAACTGTGAGATCATGACCTGAGCCGAAGAGCCTGAACTCAACGATGGAGCTACCCAGGAACACCACACACCTCTGATTTTAGATCATAAAAATTAAAATTAGGAAATCAGTTTACTGTTTTAGTCAAACAATTCTAAAACCTAACTGTTCAGGTTAATAGTACAAGCACTGAAGTCTGCCAGGATTCAAATTCCGACTCCATCACACACAGCAGTAAAATGTCCCCACGTGAGAACTTGGTGTCTTAATTTTCCACAACTGGAAAACTGGATTAATAATAAAATCTCCCTCACAGCTCTGTTGAGAAAAGTGACTTAAAACAAGTACCCAGAGCAGTATCTGACACATACGCAGTGCTTAATAAAATGTCATTATTGCTTAAAGTGTTTAACAAATAAACTTTTCAGCAGCAAAACAAAGAATATTCACCCAATAACGTGTGTTCTAATTTCTCTAGCAAAGGGCAATGGGGTTACTAACTATAATGATTTAATACTTTTTTTATTATTTCCTATGTGCTTAAACATATTACCTTATTAAAACCCTTACAAGAAACTTTTGAAATAAGAATTATCTCAATTTTATTTAAAAAAAAAAAGGAAGCTAAGATTACAGGCATTAATTTACCCTACTAGACTGTAAATACCCTTAAAGCCGAGACCCTATGTGCCTTGTTCACTGTTCAGTGCCTAACACAGAGACTGGCATATAGAAAAACTCCATTGATAACTATTGAGTAAACATCCAACAACCCTAGCAGAGCTCAGATATAAGCCCAGTTACAGGGACACCAGAATGGTTCAGTGTTCAGTTGAGCATCAACTCTTGATATCAGCTCAAATCATGATCTCTTTGTTCATGAGTTCGAGCCCTCATCAGGCTCTGTACTTACAGAGTGGAACCTACTTAGGATTCTCTCTCTCCCTCTCTCTCTCTCCCCAACTGGTATTCTCGCGCATGTGTGTGCACGCTCTCTCTCTCTCGGTCTCTGTCTCTGTCTCTCTCTGCCTCTCAAAACAAATAAATAAGCTTTAAAAAAAAAAATCCCAGGTACATCTAGCTCCAAAGCCCATACCCCGACCACTAGCCTACGGTGCTCACATTTTAAAATGTTCAGTATATTATTTCATTTTTTTAAGTTTATTTATTTTGAGAGAGAGGGAGAGAGAATGCCAAGCTGGCTCTGCACCCTCAGCACAGAGCCAGATATGGGGCTCGAGCTCACGAACTGTGAGAATGTGATCAATATTTTAAAACTTAACCTATTTCTTAGCCATTCAAGAAAATACAATTTGTGTTCAGTTAAGAGGTTTCATGTAGATATCTGAACTAAGTTTGTAACCATCCCAAATACTATATGTAGGCTATAATTCTTTCCTATTGTATTTCCATTTATAGAAACGCACAAGCAAGAACTTCATCAGGAATAGTAAAATGTATATTCAGATAATAATCATTTACTCACTCATTGACTACTCAATGTTCCAAAGTTCTGCAACACTCAGACTACAGGGTGAACATAGCTGTTCTAACTAACTAGCACAGAACTAACAAAAATTTCTTCATTTTTATACCAATAAGCAAATTATTACTTAAAACCAACAGTGAAAACTCCTCGGCTCATGTTTACCTTAGTACAACTGTACTTCTGGCCCCTTTCTTCCCACCATGAAGAAGAAAATTTTTGTACTTAGCACCAACTCTTGTTTACCAATTCCACAGACTGTAGCGTAAATAATGGCCTTCCCTACAGAGTCTCTGAAAGCAGATTCTCAGAACTGGAAGGAAATTTAAGAGTTCAACCCCCAATCCAGTTTGAGAATTCTTTCCTCAAGTTGTTGACTATGTCTACTTAATTCCCTCACAGAGTGAGGAAGCTAGTTACCTCCAAAGCACCCCCTCCTTTTTAGACTGGTCTAATCATTCAAGGGAGCCATGGATTCTTTTTTTTTTTTTTTTTTTTTTAGAGAGAGAGAGCATGAGCAGGGAAGAGGGGCAGAAGGTGGGAGGAGGAAGTGGGAGGGAGTGGGAGAGAGTGGGAGTGGGAGAGGGAGTGAAAGAGAGAGAGAGAGAGAGAGAGAGAGAGAGAGGGGGAATCTTAAACAGGCTCCATGCTCAGTGTGGAGTCCTATCCAGGGCTCGTTCCCTAGACCCTGGGATTGTGACTGAGCTGAAATCAAGAGTCAGATGCTCAACCTACTGAGCCACCCAGGCGCCCCAAGGATTCTGTCTTATACTGTGATACACCTTGAACTTCTGCTGCCCAGCAGCAGTCAGCAGCAGTTCTGCCTTGTGGTAACAGGAATAATAAATCAGGCCTGCCTTACACATGACAATCCCTTGTACATCTGAAGACAGCTGATGTGTCTTCCCTAAATCCTCTCATCTTTTGCAAGGCTAAATAAAGACCTCCAGTATCTATGACCTTCCCTCAGATGACATAGCCCCAGGTTTCCTCACTCTTTGGCTCACACCCCACTGCACAAACTCTAGCTGGTCAATGTTCCTATTGAAGAGAACTGGCCGCAGAAGGATCTTTGATTCCCGTAGGGTGTGTACAATGGCTGGCTCAGCCACCGAGGTGTCCCCAGTGTGTGGCCCAGAGGCCAACAAGGACAAGCACACAGAAGACATCTGTCATGTGCTGCTATTCGTTGCTTCAGGCACTACATGCCTCCCTGGCTTGCCTAATCTTTTATGGTGATCATTTCACAGTTCACTCCCATAGAGGTTACTGCCAACAAAAACCCGAGGATTCCTCAGATGTGTTCCTGCTGGAGACTTTTCTTGCTCTGGACTTGTGCCATGGGTTTTTCTGGATCTATGTGCAGTGTCTAAGATTAGTCCCCCTTAGATTTCACCATGTAAGGTATATGCTTGGGAACATGGAGAGTTTCTTTAGAAGGATATGTGAAAGCGACAATGTTGGTTGTCTCCAGAGAGGCATACGTGGTGGCTGGGAGGAACTTTTCACCATATGTCCTTTTGTATCTTTCTTTTCTTTTTTTAATTTATTTTTGAGAGAGAGGGAGAGAGTGAGAGCGCGCAAGTGGAAGAGGGACAGAAGAGAGAGGGGAGAGAATCCCAGGCAGGCCCCACAGTGTCAGTAAGGAGCCCAACGTGAGGCTCAAACTCATGAATGTTGAGATCCTGACCCAAGCCAAAGGCAAGAGTTGGATGCTTAAGCAACTGAGCCACCCAGGTGCCCCTCCTTTTGTATCTTTAAATTTTGTAGTATATAAGAATATTGTTTAGTTTTTAAAGAGACAAAAATAATAAACCTATGGAGAAGACAAGAATTATTTATTTAAAAAAATTTGTTTTTTACCTTAACAGAGTCTGCCCATCTTTCCAGTCTAAACTGTTTTGGGAACCTGATGGGAACCTGAGTATATCTCCATGTTCCTTTAATTTTCTTTCATTATCAGCCTCCTCCCCCTCCCCCAACCTCCAGTGGTCTCTCTAGTCATTTTTTTCTTAAAATCCTCCCCAATGAAATTTTAACTCCAGATACACTGTGTACTGCACATATATCTGTGCTTTATAAATAAAAGGAGTTCTAGAAACTTTACTTTCTAGTCAATGCAGGTTTAAGAATGACTAAATTTAAAAATAAAGTTAAAAGTTAAATTAAAATTTAAAAGCCATTACCATTTAACATTATAACTTTATTTGCTGAATAATTTTAATGTGATTTATTTACTTAGATAAGTGACAATGTATCAAATTATTATGCAAATCGGTCAATTATACAAGTATATAATAATAATAGCAATGTAATGAAATGCTTCTTAAAATCTTCAAAACTATTTTTCCAGCCAAAGTAAAATACTGAAAAAATTAAATGAATTTCTTAAAAATTATTTTTAGGGGCACCTGGGTGGCTCAGTAGGTTAAGCATCCAACTTCAGCTCAGGTCATGATCTCATAGTTTGTGGGTTCGAGCCCTGCATCGGGCTCTGTGCTGACAGCTAGCTCAGAGCCTGGAGTCCATCTTTGGATTCTGTATCTCCCTCTCTCTCTCTGATCCTCCCCTGTTCACGCTGTCTCTCTCTCTCTCTCTCAAAAATAAATAAAACATTAAAAAGTTATTTTTAATTCCCTTAACTTTTAGTTTTTGTTTGTTATACTATAACCTGTAATTTAACTAGCTGTTAGATATTCATTCATTGTCAATGTTTTCCCTTTCCAGCACTTGACATGACTAATAGATCAAATAACTTTTACAGAATTAAGTTTTAAAAAGAAACTATTTTTATGTAATTCTCAAAGTCCAAGCTAACATAAAAGCACTCTGAATCAAATGTAAATATCCACAAAGCAACCACAAGGCATCCATCAGGCAAGAGAAGTTTCTGATCAAGAGAAGGTCTGACAGGGGCGCCTGGGTGGCTTAGTCGGTTAAGCGTCCGACTTTCACTTAGGTCATGATCTCGCGGTTGGTGGGTTCGAGCCCCGCGTCGGGCTCTGTGCTGACTGCCAGCTCAGAGCCTGGAGCCTGATTCAGAGTCTGTGACTCCCTCTCTCTCTGACCCTCCCCTGTTCATGCTGTCTCTCTCTCTCCTAGAAATAAATGAAACATTTAAAAAGAAAAAAAAAAAAAAAGGTCTGACAATCCCACCGTCTATCTGCCATACTTCGTAGCCTTGACTTTGCACAGGTGTACTGTATTCTCCATGAGCTCATAAGGTCAGCACTCCAGATGTTATACCCAAGAAAATGCAACGAAGGAAATGAAATATTAAGGAATAAGATTTTGTCAGGTACGGTTGAGCTTTTGAAGGGACACAAAACACTGTACCACCTAAGTTTTGTTTGGTTTTAGTCCTGAAGAACCTGTTTTGACGCCCTTGAAAGCCATATCCCTCCCCTTCCGTCCCAGGCCTGTTGTGAAAGCAGTCTCTCTTCTGAACTGCTAGCTATCACTTCCAAGTAAACTTCCTCACATGCTTTTTGGGTATTTTCACACAGGAAACTAGGTCCAGGGAAACCCCACTCCCCTGAGCCCTGATGGATCCAAAGCCTAGCTTTGGCTTTGAATATTGGTTTCCCTAACTGGAAAATAAGATTAATAACGCCTGCTTCGCAAGAGTCTCTGTAAAGGCTAGAGGTCGCGTGTGTAAAGGGCGGTGCACCCTGCTTTTAGCACAAATAATGTGGTGAGTAAACGACCACCAAATTTCAAGCAGGGCACAGATAAAAGTGGGATAGGGAGAATGCCCCTCAAGGTGCCCGTAATGATCTCTGGGCAAAATGCCAATCCAGTTCTTTCTAGGGGGATAAGTAGGTAGGGGGTGACTTCGGGTTATTTCATTTTATTTCACAACTGCGGATGAGGGAACAACTTCAGGAAGTCGAAAAACCGAGCTCCAGTTCTCGAAAGGAGGCTCTCGTGCAAACCGAGGGGACTGGCTCTGTGTCTCGGCACAGCCGCGCACGCAGCAGCAGAGTCCCCGCGAGCCTGGGGAGAACTTCCAGCACTGAGGGCGCCCCGCCCATTCCAGCGCCCTCTTACTTTGGCAACCAGGCAAGTCCTCGCTGACCCGGACGACAGACAAAGGGGCAGACTCGCCTTTGGGCCCCGGCTTTTTCCTCCCCCACCGGGGCCCCAGGAAAAGGCGCGGGGCCCGATGGGGCGCGGGGACAGCGGGGACGGCCGCACGGAGTCCAACCTCCCACTCTGGAGGCGCGGCTGCCGGTCCTCACCTGGGCGTCGCCCCTGCCACTCAGCCCACATCAGGGTCAGGTCGCCATCCGCCCGCAGGAAGCGCAGCACCTGCACCACGAGCGCGAGGAGCGCGCACAGCGCCAAAAGCCAGAGCAGCAACTCCCAGCTCATCGCGGCCGCCCACGCCCGGCTCCGCCTGGGAGAAGACAACGCAGGAGCCGCGCCGCAGCACACGGCGTCAGCGCAGCCGCCGCCCCGCCGCCCCGCCGCCCCGACCGCCGCGCCTCCCCGGCTCCGCCCAGAGAGTGGACCGGAGGGAGGGGCGGTCTGGGCGCGCCGCACCGGCGGGCGGGGAGCCGCGTCCCGGGCCGCGCGGAGGGGGTGGGAGAAGCCTGCACGCCCCGCCCAGGGCCCCGAGCCCGCAGCTGCTGAGCACGCTTCGCCGGCGTGTGCGCTGTAGGAAGGGTAGCGGCCGGGACGGAACGCGTGGATTGCAAAGACTCGGCGGTACTGCTGTTAGTACCGTAGCCCCAAGGTTCGTAATACCAAGAAGGATTCTTTAGCAGTTGTTTTGAGGGGATATAGTTTCAAGTGTCGGGTTGCGTCAAAAGGAAGAGCACAGATAGTCCAACCTTTGAATGCGACTTCCTCCAGCCTCATCTTTATTTTAACTGAATAGATCGAACAAACTACCAAACTGTTTTCCACCCCACCCCATGCCCCACTCCACCCCCGAATTAACCAGGTTTATGGAATTGGGCCCTTGTTGATTTAAATATGGAAAACATGTTGCATAAGACACTTGCCTTCTTATTGGACGAGAAAGTGCAGTTTCGGCCAAAATTGTTCATGAGCACTAGCTCTAGGAGCAGGACTGGGGGCCAGAGCCAAGCTGGTTCCGCCCTCGGCAACCCTAAGTAAATTATTTCTTCATCTTTATATAGTCACAAACAATAAGGAGATTTAAGTAAGAAAATGTCTGTAACAGGCAGAGTCGTTCATACACAATAATTAGATTCATTCTTTTATGAGAATGCATTCTCATTAGTTATTATTTATTGTTTCCGTTATAATTTTTACTTCTTAGAGTCCAACCTGAAAGACAGGGACTTTGGTTATAAACGTCTATATTCTGGGAGTCTCAGCCCCATGAAAAAATTCCAAGAGTTTCCTCTGAGCCTGTTTCCCCTTCTGTAAAATGTAAGGGCTGAATTAGATTTAGTCCTCCAAGCCAGACCATACCATGGATGTGAACGGGGATTCTCCATCCCACACTCTAGCCCTGGGGAGGGTGAAAGGGGAACAGAGCTGTTTCTGTGGAGAATTGCGATAATAAAACTATAATGTAACAGTAATAAAACCACGCTATAATAAAACCACACAGTCTTTTCACCTCACTAGCAGTTCTTGCATTGGAAAATGAAAACAAATTAATATACAAATGTCAACATCATAAATTTCATCTTACTTGAATAGAAGCATAATTCATTTTGGAATTCAATTAGATGTTTAAACAGTCACTGTGATGAGAAAAACAACAGTTATAGCCAGTATCTTTGCAGTGCATAATTGTCCTAATTTATCTATTGACCAGTGGGAAAAACCCACCCTCAGAATCTGCTGCTTCTGGTAAAAACACTCAGCAAGTTCTTATCACAGTAGCATCTGTCAGGATTGCCTCTTCCCATTTTGCACAGAATGTATCTCAAAACTTGGAGCCTAAGTACTGAAAGCAAATGAAAGATGAATAAATGAAGGGACTCCCAAAGGCCCATGGAGCACAAGGGTCAGAGCTGTGGAACCCCAGCTTCTCCTGGATTAGTCCATTCAGGAGCAGACAGAATTTCAACCAGGTATAAAACTCCAATAAATTAAAAAAAAAAACTGATTCAAATATAAGCTACATTCTTCCCTCTATGAACAGAGAAACATAAATAACTGCAGAGTCAAGGAGAAATGCACTCTCAGCTGGGCCCCTCCTTCATTCCTGTTGTGAAAGAGCTTTGCTGCTCCCTCTACACGCATCTTGTGATTTTTTCATGAAGCCAGGACAGTGCTGAAGTAAAGCAGCCATCATGTAAGTCCCCACGACTGAAGCAATGGTCCCTCAGGACAGGATCCTTTCACAATTAGAGAAAAAGATGAACACCATATGCTGTATTTCAACACCTTACCATGTGATTCTGACAGCACACAAACTTATTCTTAGCTGAACTGTTTTGGCAAGCCAAATCTTAGTTTGGTGCTAAATATCCTTGCCCCCAAGCCATGATTTACATCCCAAAGCAAACAGCATGATTAAAAACAGAGAGAACAAATAAATACATAAATAAACAATATAATCAAAACACCACTAATAACATAAAATATCAAGATACTATTTTTGGTTAATTTCCACTAGAAATGAGGTTCAAAACACTTAATTGCTTCTTGCTAAATGCTTACATGTGTTAGAATTAGGAATGTTTTTTTAGGGGTGCCTGGGTGGCTCAGTCAATTGGGCATCTGACTTCGGCTCAGGTCATGCTCTCACAGTCCATAGTCTGTGTGGGTTCGAGCCCCACGTCTGGCTCTGTGCTGACAGCTCAGAGCCTGGAGCCTGCTTCGGATTCTGTCTCCCTCTTTCTCTGACCCTCCCCTGCTCATGCTCTCTCTCAGAAATAAATAAACATTAAAAAAAAAATTTTTAAGAATTTTTTTTAATGTTTATTTCTGAGAGAGAGAGGAGCATGCAAGCAAAGGAGGGGCCATCAGAGAAGGAGAGAATCCCAAGCTTGGGATCCCACAAACCACAAGGTCATGTCCTGAGCCAAAATCAAGAGTTGGCCACTCAACTGACTGAGCTATCCAGGAGCCCTCTAGAATTAAGACTTTAAAAACAAGAGGGTTTTCAATCCGCAAGCCTCATAGGGCCCAGAAATTAGGCCCTATGTAGAGTGCACAGAAATTAGGTCATGACTGAGAATAATGGATGGTCAAATGGAGAATGTGCTAAGTGTTGATGCAATAGAACTTCCATCCTCTCCAATTTCTGGAATACCTTGTATGCTCTGATGTCAAAGGCTGTTGCTTGGCATAAATATAACTATAAAACAGTGTTGAAAGCAAAAGACAGTGGCTCCCCTCCTCAGTGTTTTATTTTCCAGCCTTGCCTCCCATGCTTCCCTTTTCTTTTGTCTTGAAATGTGTTGAAGAATGTTACCTGCAATAATTAAGTTTCCTTAAACAGCCCTTACTTCTCCCTTTCCAATCTTATTGCAAACCTCCAGCCCTGTTCCCCACACCTATCCTCCTCTAGAAATAGACTTTTGTGGCTCTCCAGAGACATAATCATCACTTCCCTAGTCTCACCTATTTTTAGAACTACTTCTGAGGGAAGTACATGAAATAATCTCTAATTATTTTCAGGGTTAATATATTATTACCCTAATGAAACTTTAAGCTCCTTGAGATAAAGTAGCAAAGCTCGTGCTTCTTTTGAAGAGTCTGCAGTACTTAGTTTAGTGTTAATACAACAAATGATAAGCCCACATTGAATTGAATTCTCTTTTTCTTGAAAGTTAAACTTCTGTGAAGTTCTCAAATAAAGTTGTTATTAGAATAAAAGTTGTTAGAACTTAACAAATAATCTTCCCTGAGTGTCACTAAAGTGATTTGAATAAAGCTCCAACCAAGGCCTTTTGTATAATTGGTGCCCTTAGTTTTAAATTTCAGCTGTGATAGAGTGATACCCCGTTCTCTCCTTTTAGTAATGGTCATAATGGTCACTTTTGGGGCAACTGGGTGGCTCAGTCGGTTAAGTGTCCAACTTTGGCTCAGGTCATGATCTCGCAGTTCGTGAGTTCAAGCCCTGCATCAGGCTCTGTGCTGACAGCTCAGAGCCTTGATACTGCTGCAGATTCTGTGTCTCCCTCTCTCTGCCCCTAACCAGCTCATACTCTGTCTCTTCCTCTCTTTCAAAATTAAACATAAAAAAAAAATTTTTTTAAGTAATGGTCACTTTTGATGGTATGGGCTCAGGCCTACTCAGATCAACCAGGATGAAGGCAGTTGTGTTTAAAAACCTGTCACATTCCATAATAGAAGGGCAAAATAAAAATAACTTTAAAAATCCAGACCCTCCATTACTGGCAGTCCCTGGGGAGAAAACAAAAACAAAAACAAAGATCCTAAGAGTAGAAACAGGGACTAAGGAAGTCTGGGCGATTATTCTTCCTGAAAAACAAGAAGAGGTTTGTGGTTTTTGATTGGGGATATTATCACAACCCTCTAGATACTTTTGAAATTTTGTTGGATGTGCTTTGTTTTCTCTCTCTGTCTCTGTCTCTGTCTCTCTCTCTCTAGAGTGCCAGTATGAGCTGGGGAAAGAGGCAGAGGGAGAGAGAGAGGGAATCTTAAGCAATCTCCATGCTCAGCACGGAGCCTGATGTGGGGCTTGATCTCACAACCATGGGATCATGACCTGAGCCGAAACCAAGAGTCAGATGCTCAACTGACTGAGCCACCCAGGTACCCCAAGATATGCTTTGTTTTCATAGTGCCAGGTGGCCTAAGGCCAGGAGTTCTAAAGATCTGGGCAACATGTAAAGGCATACCCAACAGAGAATTGTCTGGCCCCCAAAGCTCACAATGCTCTTGTACAGAAATCTTGTATCCATTGTGAAGAAGTGCTCCTTGATCTATTCCCTGCTTAACGGAAGCATTCCTGCATCCTCTGCATCTGTTTGCCTATACTCCATATATAAGCATTCATGTCACTGTTTAGTATTCTGATATTCTGCAGGCAGACATGGTCTTACTTGAATAGTCTTCTGTCTCATATAAATGATTTCCTTATCTTTAGTAATCTTATGGGATTCCTCAATAGGAAAATTTGCGCCATTGGCCACATGTAGTTCTGCATATTACTGAATTGATTATCTCTTCAGATAGGCAGATATCCACATTATCTTTTTTTTTTCAATTGTTTTATCATTTATTTGTGTGGGTTTTTTTGTTTTCTTTTTTTTTTACAAATAGTTTATTGTCAAATTGGTTTCCACATAACACTCAGTGCTCATCCCCAAAGTGCCCTCCTCCATGCCCATCCCCCCCCCCACATCCATCAGTCCTCAGTTTTTGTCAGCATTCAAGAGTCTCTCATGGTTTGCCTCTCTCCCTTTCCCCCACCATTTCCCCCTTCTTCTCCCCCTTGTTCCTCCGTCAAGTTCCTCCTAATCCTCCTATACGTGCAAACATATGATATTTGTCCTTCTCTGCC